TCACAGATAAGCTAATGAAAACTCTCGCTGCACTCAGTAAGTTACAGAAGTGTCAGCTAAAGTAAAAATCTGTCTTTTCTTCTCGGAGCAGTTTTGCGTTTCGATTTTCCTCCTCCTCCTCCTCCTCGGTGTTTGTTTTTCACCTGCGTCACGTGCGGCTGCATGGTTGGGAAGACTGCGCCGGTCTCTGGAATCACGCGAGGCGCTCGACACAAAGGAAGTGCGTTGCAGAGTCACTTGTGTTGCTCTGAGGATAACAAACTGGGCTGAGCTTACAGTGGATARGTGCACATGCACACAAATCCATAAAAAAAAAAACAGATCAGAAAAAAGGGGAACAATGCAGCTGCGGAGGCTTTCACAGGTCACTGAATGTAGCAAAGTGCAGGCAGGAAATGTGTAGCTTGTAATTAACTGTATGAACTCTCTGATAATGGTGCAAATGAGCAGAACCTGCAAAACTATGTGATTATTGTCATTAGTTTTGGAGGTTGTCCCATTTTCTCTAATGGAGGATTCTAGTTGTCCTGTTTGACACAACGGTAAGGCTTTTTATTAATGCAAAATAAAATTCGGTGGCTTCTACAAACTCCTCCAACACGACTGCGCTGTCCGTCTCACAGACCTTTAAWACTCCGCTGAAGGGCAAAGCACCAATTAAAGCTGGTGGATGTGCTCATGCTTCACTGTTCCAGCTGCCGTAGCTGCACCTGAGCAGCACAGCGGTGACGTCGCAGCTCCGAACCATCTTCCTACATGCTTTCTGTGCTGCTGGTGCCTGATTTGAAATAAGAATGTCTGAGTTAAGGAGGAGGAGGAGAGGGAGGGGTGAGAGAGAGGACAAAAAGCAATTTTGCTCTGCCTTTCTGAGATTAGATGTGCAGCGACTCAGATACAAAGTGTCGGGGGAGGGGTTGCGTTGGAGAAAGGGCAACGGGAAGGTGCGTCGCCACAAGAATACTCGTGAGAGTGGGAACGAATGCTGCACGGACCGAGTGGAAACGCAAGGCTTTCTCCATCAAATCACCTTCAATATCACTTTGATTATGAAAGAAATGACAGGAAAACTGAGTCACAGATGTGAAACTTATTTAGTAAGAAAAAAGTCAAAACCCTTTTTCTTTCTAAAAAATTGTTTCGAAAGTGGCTACGCACTTCTTCTGTAAGAATTTTAAAGGGATGCACGATTAGTTGTAACATTAGACTTTATTTTAGCNGCATTAAAATTGGATGTAAACATGGCTGGTGGATGGTTGTTTGTTGTTTATATGTGGTCCTGTGGTAGACTGATCTGTCCAGGGTGTGCCTGCCTCTCACACAGTGACTGCTGGATGTTGGCACCAGTGACCCCCCCCACCCCCCAACCCTGAAATGGATAAATGGTTTTGTTGACAAATASAAAATCTACATTTTCATCCATTGCCTGAGAACAAAAAGAAAGGACAATATGTTGTGTTTTCTAGTTTGAATATAAAACATTACAAGTGGAGCATCATCAAATTTCTTCTGGAAGTCGAGTTGTATATAAAGAACAATCAAGAACAAGGTCAAATCAACCTGAGCAGAACTTGAATTGGGTGAAAATACAATAAATACAAGGAGCTTTTATTTCTTTTGCTCTGAGCTGGAGAGGTGACACAACAGCTCTGTAAATGGAATATTTTCAAACCTGTGAGTCCAGAAGCAAAATGACAGGGTTGAGTTTTCAGAGCGTTTGAGTTGATTTCAGGCACCAAAAGATATCAAATAGGGGAAAATTTACACATTTCTGTTAATTCAAAGGCTCAGTGTTTCGCAGCAGAAGATTTAGTTGAATTGAGGTGATTGGTGTTTTTTGTCTCAGCTGTTGGGGTTTTAATGTCGTGCCAAATAGGTGGATTTCAGCTAATAAAGCCGTCACTATAAAAACTGCTGATAGTAAGGTCTGTACTTTGATCGTTTGTCTTTCAAGCGATCCAGATTCTTTTCTCCCTCACTCAGTCCAGCACCTGTTTAGTCCGCCCATCCATCAGTCTCAGGCCGGCACCTATAATTCACCTCCATCCATCAGGGCTCCACATTCAGCCATCATCGTCTCATCTGACCTCCTTCCTGTTTACTGAAGTCAACGCTCAGCTCTCAGGTGTCGTCTTCACTATTTTTCTCCACTTTACGTTTCACTCTGAGGAGCATCGGGTCACCTGTCACCTGTCTGACAGCCGCGAATAACAGCCTGTGATGTGGAATGACATCACGCTTAAAGAGCTGCCATCAAAAGGAAATAGGAATCATTTGATAAAAATAAATTGTGCCTTCTCACGAGCTGAGATAAAACCTGAACGTCTGAACTGATGATTTATCTGAAGATTTACAAGATGAAATGTTTGAGGGGTTGTTAGTCACTGAAGGTAGTTTTTGCTCTACAAAACTAACAGCGAGTCTCGATTCCCCGCCCCCCTTCAGGTACGGCCCGTGGCATCGTCATAGCTACCGGCGACCACACGGTGATGGGCCGGATTGCCACCCTGGCGTCTGAGCTGGAGGTCCGCCAGACGCCCATCAGCATCGAGATCGAACATTTCATCCAGATCATCACAGGCGTGGCCGTCTTCCTGGGCGTGACCTTCTTCATCCTGTCTCTGATCCTGGGCTACACCTGGCTCGAGGCCGTCATCTTCCTCATCGGCATCATCGTGGCCAACGTGCCAGAGGGGCTGCTGGCTACTGTCACCGTGAGAAAACTGATTCTTTTGGTCAGACTGTATCTCCAGGTTGTTTTAAAATATTTAAAGGGGACATGTCGGGCAAAATTCACTTTTTTTAGCTGTTAAATACATTTTATTGGACTTGGAGTTTCTGCAGAAAGTTTTGATTTAGTTTCTCCCATTGCTGCATAGATATCTTTATATTCTGTTTGTTTCAGTTTTCTTTATTTTCTATGATGTTTTCTGAACTATTACATCAGAKTTTTTGCGAGTGACCTTCTAAATAAGGTCTGGACTTACCAACTACAGTTTGGTGGTCTTAATTCTCCTCTGGCTCTGAGTCACACTTTAGATCCAACATGTGAGGCTGTTTATGTCTTTTAATTAAATAGTAAATACAAGGTTTCTGCGCAGCTATATACTCCTAAACTTCTCCATCTAACTAGAATAGAGCTTGCTAGTGTTCTTTTATCTTCTTTTTGTCTTTAGCTGTTGTTTTAGCTTCTTTTGTCTTTAGCTAATGTTCTTTTAGCTTCTTTTTGTCTTTAGCTGTTCTTTTAGCTTCTTTTTGTCTTTAGCTGTTCTTTTAGCTTCTTTTTGTCTTTAGCTAGTGTTCCTTAAGCTTCTTTTTGTCTTTAGCTGTTGTTTTAGCTTCTTTTTGTCTTTAGCTGTTGTTTTAGCTTCTTTTTGTCTTTAGCTAGTGTTCTTTTAGCTTCTTTTTGTCTTTAGCTAGTGTTCTTTTAGCTTCTTTTTGTCTTTAGCTGTTNTTTTACAGTTAAAATAAATGTTTATCAAATAAAGTCTAATGTTACAACTAATCGGGGATCCCTTTAAAACTGATAATCTTCTCATGTCTTCACTCGTCTTTTYGTTTTCTCCTTTCAAGATTTCCATCCATGAAGTGGAGGACAATCCCTCCGGTCATCTTCTGGTCATGAAAGGTGCACCAGAGAGAATCTTGGACAGGTTTGTTCATCAATTTTTAACTGATTGTGTACCTTAGAATGAAAAAGCACCAAAACCACAGTGTTTATGATTTTTTTCTATCAATACTCATATATTTATATTAAAAATACGTAATGAGCAGTGCTGCCAGCATATGGAGCTTAAGCTTGATTTATTTTGTTCATCTATGCTTGAACCATCCGGTGTTGTCATGTTGCCTCTCAGTTGAACTGAGTGACACGTTCCTTCATCAACACGAACACACACACACACACAAACACACACCCTGTGGTTTATTTAGATGTAATCTCACACACACACCATCCGGCTCCTGTAAAGTGTCACTGCAGCAACAGATGGATATTAATCTGCTGGTGGAAATAGTCTGCAGCAGATGCATCAGTTTGAAGTAAAAAAAAAAAAAACCTCTCTCAGGCTCTGGTAATTTATACACAACTGAGGAGTTTCAGGACTGAGCGAAGTCACAATTTAAACACACACTATCTGCCACGATGAACAAGAGGAATGGAGTCATAAAAACACTTCTGTGATGGCGAGTTTAGCTTTTCACGTGTTTTAATCCCCCCCCCACCGGTGGTCTTTGAAGGCGTACATCCTCCATACTGAGAGGAGTTAGTTGGGGTGGTTTGGGTATGTAGGAAGGACACCTCCCTACGGAGGTGGTCTGGGCCCATCCAAATAAGTGGAGACCTCAGGGGAGACCCTGGACATGCTGGAAGGAATATGTCTCTCAGCTGAAGTGGGAACACCAGGAGTCCTCCCAGAAGAGCTGGAAGAGGGGCTGAGGAGAGAGAGGTGCAGACCTCCCTGATCAAGAGGCTGCCCCCACAACCTGACTCCACAACAAGTGGTAGATGATGGATGGATGGATGGATGGATGGAGGGATTATTGGATAGATGGATGGATGGATGATTGGATGGATGCATGGATGATTGGATGGATGGATTGATGGATGGATGGATGAATATGTAGATGGATGGATGGATGGATGGATGAATATATAGATGAATGGGTGGATGGATGGATGGATGGATGGATGGATGGATGGATGAATATATAGATGGATGGATGGATAC